TGCTGTCGCATGGCTGTTCACCCTGCCCGTGGTGTTGTGGAACAGCAGAAAGTTTGGACCAGCGTTTGGAGCACTCCTGCTCGTCCTGTTGCCGAGGTCAACTCCATGCTCCGTGCTTTGGAGGCGCGTAGACTCATGAAGTGTCGTGCGTCTGGGCCGGACGACTGGTCGGCGTCCACGTTGACCCTACTTCCCTTGTCTTGGTGGAGCGAGTACGCTCTGTTGTGGCAAAACGTGTGGTCTTGCAGCAAGGTTCCCGCGTGCCGGCGTGACGCCAGAGTTGCCCTGTTGGCTAAAGAAGATGGCAGATGGCTCTGGCTACTGGCTATCGTCCTCTGTCGGTCGCTTCGCTTTTGTGGAGGATAGCCGCGAAACACGTGGCACGCTCCTTACCGCATGGGCTCTTGAGTGGTCTGACCAATATGTCTTCGGAGGCATTGTCGGTCGCCGAGGCTTCGCAGGTGGATGAGATCTTCGAGGGCCCGTCTGCATGCGTGTATGTACCGAACTGAGTACGCATGCTGCCAAGGATGCCGTTGCCAGATGTATCGTTGCTGCTGAGCTTGATGCGCAAGCCACGTTCGTGGCGCAATATTTGTCTCGCTTCTTCGACTCTGCATGTTGCCCCTGAGCACGCGGCTGCTGTTGCTGACTGGTTTCGAGCCCCACCTGAACTGGCCAAGTTGCTTTTGTCGGTGTACGCTGATGCCAGACGCACGTTCGCCCTTGAAGGGCACCTTGCTCCGTCCTGCACCACTCCTTGCAGGGGCATATTGCAAGGTTGTCCGTTATCGCCATGCGTGTTTGGTCCATCGTTGTCTGCGGTGAGCAAAGGCCGTCACCCGTTGACGCTGTGGTGTACCTGGACGACCGTACTTTCTTTGACAGATGCGGTGGCACTAATGACAGGCGTCGCAGTGCGCTGATGGCTGCGTGCAACCGCAGTCGTGTCTTCGACTTCCTTTTTGGCTTTACTTGCCGCGCCCGCAAGTGCTCCGTTGCTGGTCGTGAGGGCTCTCCCGTGAGAGCGCTCCTTGCGCAGACCTTTGGGTACCCTGAGGGCACTGTCCTGGATGTCCTAGGCATAAGCTTTGACGTCGCTGATCCTAGGTTTGCGTAGCTGAGCCGTGTTCAAAAGGAGGGCATGTCGTTGCTGCTCAGGTGCATCAAAGCGGCGGCTTGTACCATGGCGGACAGAAAGCGTCTGATCCGCACCTTGGTCATCTAAGGTCACTTGGGCTGCGGGTGTGGCAGCTATGCCGCTGGAGTTCCTCACGTGGCTGAGACGCGAAGTCCTGCGGACTTACGGGGGCAAAGTTTTCTTGAAGGACACTCCAGCTTGTATGGCCGTGGAACTGCTTTCGTGGGATGCTGATCCTATCTTTGCTTCACGGCTCGCTGCTCTCAGGGCGGGCCTGTCGGTTCAGTGTCGGCTCGCCGGCTTGGCTGGAGTCTTTACCCGTCACGATCGGCTCGCAGGCCTGGCCTTTCTGGCTTGCTGGCTCCGTTCAGGTCCTGTTTGCAGCGCCTCATGGCCGCACTGTCCAGCGGACCGATGACCGTGGGATCTGTAGAATCTTCCAGTTCGGCGTTGACAGTCCTTTGATCCTCAAGGAGTGGCTTGTTGAGGCCCAGAGGACCCAAGTGTTGCAGGCCACTGGCCGTGTTGCGACGTCGTGTCGCCGGCGTGAGGAAGAGGACTTGGCACAAGGCAATGTGCTTCCCAAACCTCAGCAAGACATGCATTGCTCATTTGCTGCGCATTGTGAGCTGTTCTTTGAGCAAGGTGCCAGCTTAATCCAACGCAGGGCGGCGATGAGCGCCGGCGGGAGCTTTTGGCACTACAACATGGGTCGTCGTCTCAGCCGAGAGGACTCAAGAGCCGCATGCATGTGCGGGAGTGTGTTCCCTTCGCGCGTGCACCTGGTTTGGGCTTGCCCTGCCCTTGCTCATCTTCGCGTTGGGCTTAGACCCCCGGAGTGTCGTGCGTCTGAGCGCCCGCTTGCGCTTCCTCAACATGGTGTGCCTCCACAACTTCAGGCGCGGACCGATGATGGTGTGGATGCTCTCGTCGAGCACTTGCTCAAATTTGGTCAAGACCGTGCGGAGCTTGTCGTGGCGACCGATGGCTCGTCAAAAGAAGGAGTTGCCGCCTGGGCCGTTTCTGCAGATTGCCAGGAGCCCATTGCCAGAGGGTTGTCTGGCGAGGATGGCACGCCTTTCCGTGCTGAAGTTGAGGCGATTCGAGCCCTGCTGACTGCGCTGCAGGGTTTCTGTAGGCGTTCTTCGCACCGCCCTAGAGTCAGATGCTATGTTGACTGCCAAGCTGCGATTGACATTGTGCAGGGTGCCCCCGGCTCCTGTCCTTTGCTTTCCTCGCAGCTCTGTGAACTTCGGGAGAGCGTTGCCAGGAGTGGCATCTTGGTTAAGTTTCTCTGGGTTCCAAGGCACGGCAAGTATGGTTCCTGGAAGGCACCGGACGGCGACTCGTCCACGCTTGTGAGGGAGCTCAATAATGCACTGGACGAGGCTGCAAGGGCTTGTGCAGAAAGGCGCTGGCTTGGATCAGACCGTGCTGAATGGTTTCGGCGCAGACGTGCTGACATGACGTGGGAGCTGACAGCGGTGAGGATGGCGACAGCACCCGTTGATGCCTACGCCGCCCACCTGGAGCAGCTTTGATTGGGTGGCGAGTGGAGCAGCCAGGGACCTTTCACCCTGCTGTTGCCTTCAACATCGCTAACCTTTAGACTTCACTGGCAAGCTTGCTGGTGGGTTGCGACTACTGCCAACCACGGCCACAGAGACCAACCCCGACACACGAGGCGAAGCCACGAGGCCAACGACAAAACACCAGACGCACCTCCCAGCACACACACACACACAGCGGAACGGATGCCGACCCCCACCTTAGTAGCAGCAGGACGGCGCCACGAAGAACATCAACAATGGAACGAACCCGGTACAGATCGCCAAAGCCGCAACCGTTCATAATCGTTCATAAGCACGGCATCTGAGGTAATGATGGCTTGATGGACTTGTGTCACATGTACTGAATGAGATGCTGGAGTTTCGTCGAAGGCTCGCTGTCAGGCTTGTGAAACTCATACTATTGATGACCCCAGACACTTCTTCGAAACGGCACGCGTGCTTTCAGCACTGTCGCTGAATCATATCACGAGTCTTTAAACTGCCCTTCGACGCAGGGTTGCACACACACACACACACAGAGACGCAGACAGCAGCCCCACAAGCAGCTATACCCCCGCCCGAATCCACCGTGAAGCCGGATGAAACACAGCAAGCACAGCCACATCACAAAGCATCCGACAGTGACGACCAGGTCCCCACCACCCATGCAGGAGTACGGCAGAAATCCCCCAATCTGCAGATTGCATCGCAACCAACCACCAGTTCACGCACGGATGCTACTCCTTCACCATCACACCAAATCACACCCAACAACGCCAGAGCTCACACAACATCCCATTGCTCCACGTCATCATCGCGGGGGATGCCGGACCTCTCTCCAGTGCTGGACTCATCGTCACTTCCCCCCATTGCCACCACTTGCGGCTCTTGCTGACCACCGACGCTTTGGACTCAGCCTTTGAGGCTGCGAACACAGCCCGACTGCGATGCATGCCAAGAAAGCAGCTGCACGCCAGTCCCACGACCCCAACCACGAAGAACCACCTGCTTCAGAACCCGAACCCCCACCGACCACCATGACGGCAAGCTCTTTGTGTGAAGGTCCTTTACATATAGGTCCTGCTACCCCACTACAAACGGTGACCAAGCCAGCCATCAAGGCCAAGGCGACGACCGAAGGACCAGGAGCGACGGCCGAACCGTACACCCAGGACCCAGGACTCCCAGGACCCAGCCACCACAGCAGCGTGACCCTCCCAGCCTTCGCCGACGAGAGCAGAGAGCTCCGGCGAAAGCAACCAGACCGAATCCTGCAGCAGGACCGTCCCAGACCTGGCCGGGCGACAGTCTGTTCCGCCAGCGCCCGCCCACGAAGACCCGCCGACACCGGTTAGGTTGATGGTCCAGACTTGGTGTATCGGGTCTGTTGTAAGTGCTCGTTGTCCTATGTCCTATGTGTTGTGGGTCCACTGATGCCCAGGCTCATAAGTGGAAGCCGGCAGGTGGCTCCTTGACAATGCATGCTTACACTAACGGCGGGCACCAGACATCTCCATAGCGACCCGTAGCTAGTAAAATACTGTTTTTGTCCTTCAGGTAATACGTGGGTTTTGTTCTTCGAGCCGAGGAGGTGTCAACCGAGCTTACAACGAGATGCTCCAAGCACCAAAATTTTTCCCCAGAAACACAATCCTTTATGTGAAGTGTTCATGTTGTGTTGTCTGACATTTTGTTTGATAACGGCCTGCTTGCTGAAATCAGCCGAAAAAACAATAACTTAGCATAATGCACATGTCTTGACACAAGTGGTGAACGACCGAAAAACATAGGTCCATTGTATTAACCTGCTGCAATTTCGGTCAACGAACCATCTTCGCTTTCACAGGCGGGCCTTCGTGCCCGGGGGTCCTCACTCGCCCTTCAAGCCTGGGAGAAGAAAGAAAGAGCGAGAGACAGCAAGGGAGAAAGAGGGAGCGAGCGACGGAAAAATACCGTACTGCTTCTGCTATGCTAGACAACGTCCCCAAAATGTGATGAGAATCGTACAACTGCTGTTTCGCAAAAAAAAAGCCCCTCCCAACCGCTGCAACCTGTACTTAAAGCCACACACCCGAAGCCGTAAAGTCCCTGAAAACTCCAGAGTCGCACGCACGTCAGTAGATGAGTAGATACAGGTAGCCAGCCTGAACTGGAACAGGGTCAGGAAGAAGGTCTTGCCCAATAGGGCCGAAACTCAAATCCAGATTGGCCGCGACCCGGGCACCTTGTTCGGAACAGATTCAAACAGAACAACACTAAGCCCTTCGATCAGGACCTACATAAAAGAAGGTTTATCAAGAATTATGCAGGCATGTTTGAGGCCATGAATGACGACTTCCATGCAGACCTCACGGCACTTCAGGACCCGCAAAACGGGGCCCGCTGGGGATGGCGGTTGCGGGTTGCTCATGCCCCGCATGTGCAGCAACTTCATTGCTGCTCTTGAAAGATTGGCAGAAGCATTGGTTATACTATCTTTTATTATACTGCTTTATCTTGTTGCCTTAAACCGTGTTGTATTAACTAGATTGCCTGGCCATGTTCGGGCCTCTAAAAGTTGAGCTGTGAGCCTCGCGCCGCTTTTGCTGGAAAAAGTTTGGTCAAGGACGAGATGGCGAAGGAGCAGGCCACCTACGAGGAGCTGATGGCCTCCAAGAAGGAGGAGATCAAGGTCCGGCCGGGCGCAGAAGGTTTACGACAGAGGGTGGTTTTTTTAGAGGTTGCCGGGACCTCTTTAAACCAAAATTGAACTTGGGAACTCTGAAGCCGGGTGACAGGGACTTTAAAGAGCAGTGTGTATGTGAGCAAGCTGGGAGCCTCGAGATCTCGCAATCCAACAGAGAATTTGGTAGTGAAATCTTGTGCGAGCCTCCTTGCATTTGTTCCCGCACGATGGTCAACACAACCCCAAGGTTTTATCGCGGGTCGTGTCATTCGCGTGGGCAGTTCATGGGCTTTGGGGTGTCAGCTGCCTTCTGGCGTTGGGCTGAGGTTTGAGGAGAGCACGAGGATTCTCAGCAAACCCTTAAACCCCCGAGCCGCACGGGTGGCCCTGCCCCTGTTGCCCAGACCTCTCCCAAGAAGAGCCCTGGCGAACAGAAGCATTTCGAGATAGCCTTTCAAACCCACATCAAACAGAAGCCTCGATGTAATTCATTCCTACTTTGCACTATGCCTAAGGGTTCCTTATAGTATACACTCAGCATAAGATAGCACGACATGCGATTGCACTCTACTGTAATGTTTTTAATAACCCTGTTCTGCAAGTAGTTATTAAAACCCCGCGCTAAACTTTCCGTGAGGCTTCCGAGGCCACGAAGGAGTCGAAGCGCCAGCAGCGGGTTGAGAAGCGGCAGAGCATGATGGAGATGGGTTCATGGGCAAGCAATTTGGGGGCGTGGGCTCTTTACATTGAGGGTTGCTGTTACGGTGTGGGTTGGAGATATCATTGGAGTCGACGGTGTGTAAAGAACAGCTCAGCTGGTTTCCTGCGACAGTCCGACCACTACACCACTGCCACCGTTACCCCTAACTCCTAATTCGGTCTTAATTACACTTATGACCATCAATATGGTTTATTCCCTTGCTAAGTGCTAGTGTTACTCCTCCTACTACTACTGCTACTACTACTACTACTACGACGACGACGGCGAGCACGACTTCTACTTTTACTTCTGCTACTGCTCCTCCTCCTCCTCCTGCTCCTACTTCCGCTACTCCTCCTCCTACTTCTACTGCTGCTACTATTCCTACTCCAACTCCTGCTCCTGCTACTGCTGCTGCTACTACCACTACCACTGCTTCTACCACTACCACTACCACGACTGCTAACGACTACTGACTACTAACTACGAATGCTAGCTACGAACTATCTACTACTGCTACTACTACTACTACTACTACTACTACTACTACTACTACTACTACTACGACTACTGCACGACTACCACCACCACAACCACCACCACCACTACGACTACCACTACCACGACTACAAACAACAACTACTACCACTGCTGCTGCGACTACCACTACGACTACTTCTACTCCTGCTCCTACTACTACTACTACTACTACTACTACTACTACTACTACTACTACTACTTCTCCTGCTCCTCCTGCTGCTGCTGCAGCACAAACTTCGCCGCTTCTGCCTGTGTGCTTCTACCACTGCTACGATCAGGAAGAAACCCAAACCCCAAACAAAAATGCACATTCTGCCAGAGATGTGAATCATTGAATCATGATCGACGCTTAGACCTTCGGACTAGAATACCTCAAGGCGCCAAAAGTTCGGAATCCCACAAGCTTCAACAACCTGCGCAGCCCTGCAATCAAGTTTAGTATTGCATTGCAAAGAGAAGAGCCCAGGTTTTGAGATCAAGTCGATTGAGAAGGCCGAGATTTCGGGGTTTGAAGACGTTGGCATGGCAGCATGGCAGTACGATCCATGCCTTACAATGACAAGGCCTTTCCTTTCTTATACTCGTAACTGTGACAGCAGTAGATTGCATGTGCTTTCGGTCGAAATTTGTGTTTTATTTCGGTCTGTTGATGTCCTATTCCTGGTTTCGGCAGTGCACACGTGTGTGATCTCCAAATTGGTTGAAACAATGCGAATCACCAGAGACATATCCAGACAAGGCATGAGCGGCCAGCCGTAGCAAGCCACAACGGTTTTGTTTACATCCACGGTTTTCAGTTTGTCTTAAAATTATACACAGGCCACATCACGCAGGATCGAAGCCGTTGCTTTGACCACAGTGTTTTCATCTCCCCGCCAGACACGTATGCCTTCAGAACATGGGAAGCTCTCCACAACATGTGCAATGGACCCTGCATTACAACGTCGACGCCAGTTTATACGGTGTTTTGCCTTCTAACACAACATACGTCGGTACTCACACAGACCTTACTTGTCGATGGTTTTCACACACATGGGTCATCAGCAAAACTCCGGCTGACTGTAGGTGGATAGTATATAGACAGTTGGATTTGCACATCGTGTTGCTGTCAGCTCTTACGGGCTCTTAGAAAGAGACGACGAAATTATGGTTTCCGCTCGCTGACACCATAGGACAATCTGCACACCGCTTGCCACGCATCCAGACGACACACTCATCCATTCGTTTGTAGCCAACGGCCAGGTTGCATACCTGCAGACGAAAAAGTGTCAGCATCGGTCAGGGTTCCTTCAAGACACATATTTGTCCTCGCAACCAACCTGTGCCCCCAATTAACATCCATTCACGACGCGTGTCCATCCTGTTTTGCTCAGCCTCCACATCGGCTTTGTTTACTCCTAGTCCCAGCTTGTATGCCACACATGTCATTCCCACGACAGCAACATGACACGTAATGAACCGTACGTGTCCATGCTGCTTCAGTTTTTGCTCGTGTGAGCTGCAGGCTATCGGCACCAGCGGCGACTTCCTGAAGCTTGTAGAAGAGAAGTGTGGCGCCACGGATCAGGAGTCGTTGGTCAAGTTGCTGGTTGTCAGGTTCCCGGACTTCCTGTCGTTTGCGTCGTGCTGCGTTCCAGATTTCCCGAGCAATTCAGACTCGGGGTCTCAGATTTGAGACTCAGAAGTGCAGAACTCCGGTTGAGAGGCAGTTCTATAGGCAGCTCCCAAGGTTCGACGTAAGCATGCAAAGGCTATCGGGGCTGTCGGAGTTTATATGCAACGAAGCATGAGTGCCGCCACGGCCTTTCGGAACGACTCTGCGGTTTGAGGCAATTCATGTACCGCACACATCCGGCATGTCGGCGCAGTCGATCGTCCTTTTTCGTTTTGTGTTCTGCAATTCTTGAGCCGCGGCCGAAGCGATCCTTGGCGAAGCTCTGCAGGAGTGGACTGAGCGGACAGCCACACGCAAGGAAGAGATCGCGTCTGTTGCGAAGGCCAGCAGCTGCCATGCATCAAACCCAGGAGGACACTTTCTGGACTTAACAGGCTTCCTGAATCTGCGGGCAGTGGGCTGGTCAGTTGAGGTTTGGTTCAGATTCAGGCTTCGGTCCGGAACGGGGAGACAGTGAGGGAGGGCTGTTCACGAGTTGTGTAAACTCTCCTTGATAGACTGTTGGACATTTGTTTGGCTGCTTTCTCCCAGAGAAAGCTCGAACAAAAGCAGCTGCTCCATCAAGCCCTGAAGCTTGTTCTCCTGTTGTTATATACCGCTCAAAAGTCACAGACACATCGTTGCAAGACAAGAGTAGCAGAGAAAGAAGAGCCTGGAGAGTCTTATTACTTGTTTCACCTCGTGAGTTCATCACTTCCTGCAGGCCATTGACGTTCTCACCACAGAGGCCGCAAAGAACTCCTTCGGCCACCGTCTTGGCATGTACCCACCATTTTCAAGTCGTTTTCAGGGGCTAAGGGGGTCGGGTCTAGTGTTACTGTTCAGTTGGTCGTCGGCCTCAACTCGGAGTATGGGGCCTGTTTTGGCAGTTTGTGGAGAAAGCTGTCTAACTTCGTTGACGGTGCGTGCAACTTTGTTTTAGCCATATCCAAACCTTGAACCCCTGCTCGAACAGTGAAACCCTGCCTTCGGGTCTTCGGGCGTGGCGTGTGAAGCGAGTGGATATGCCAGGATACTGACGCTGAAGGCACTGCGGAAGAAAGGGCCGACCCCTTTGTTTTTCTTTGTACTGCTGCGTCCCGGCAATCCAGCCGGACGAATCCAGCAGTGGGCTCGTAGAGGTGAGCCGTAAGTCAAGTTCTGAGGTGGGTTCCCAAACCTTGGCATACCCAAGTACTCAAGTATACTCAAGTCCCAAAGGCCTCAACTGTCGATTCCGCAAGCGGCACGAGTCCTTGCCTGGTATAGCTTGGCAAACGATCTCTCGAAGACACGAGCTGAGGCAAGACGTATACCAACTTCTTGCAGAAAGAGGCCTGGTATTGCTAAATACGATGATGACGATCTCAGTACGATGATGGCGGTGGTGATGGTGGGGAGGGTAGTGGTGCTGATGGTTGGGAAGTGGTGACGGAGGGAGGTGCTGATGGTGAGGATCATCGTGATGACGGTTGGAGAAGTCACACAAAGTGCTCCGGAGCTTTCGGGCAGAGGACACTGAGCTGCATGTGCAGTACATAGTAATGACTTTGATCATTTCCGACACGAAGTTCGGTCTTTTTAATGATTACGGCTTCAGGCAGCAAGCCCCACGGACAGGTAAACATATCAGAAACAGGCTTGTCATTTTCCTCAGTTGAAGTCTCGACTTGCGTTTGCATATGCTGAATGTTTTTCTAGATTCTAGCGTCTAGAGGGTCTAGTGGCTGATAAATTAGAGAGGTAATGCGTGCTCCATGTTTAACTCGTTTGTGAATTCGACTATTGGTGCATCCTGTGTAGGTGCACATGTGCGTGCGCGCAAAATGACAATGTGTTTGTGTGCGTGTGTATGCGTGTACAAACATACACATGCGCTTATGCATGCATATTGCTTACTGAGTAAGTGTATGTATTCTTTCTCTATACAGTTGCTGTCTATAATGTGCTTGCTTGATTGAAAGATGAATTTTGCATCTGTTGGCTTGTGTATATATATATATATATATATATGTGTGTGTGTGTGTGTGAATATAGAAGTTCCGATACCTCTATATACTCTATATGTATGCGTATGTACGTACATATGATGTGTGTATGTGTGTATATATATATATATATATATATATATATATGCTTCTGTATATGTATATGTACATGTATGTATGCACATATGTGTATGTGTATATATATATATACATATACATATACATATTTATATATATATATATACATAAAACATTTATATATATATATATATATACATACATACATACATACATGCATACATACATGTCGGTTAGGTTTTGATCTCGGTCTAGATCTAGATACAGATAGATATATACTCTGCAATATCATATATATATATATATACATACAGTATGGATCGCACGTAATGCTTATGCTGGCCCATTTTTCGTTGATCGTGCACGGACAGCCTCCAAAAGGCATGATCTCAGCTGCTGCAAGGTCGCAGACGAGCGATTCAGACGGGCCTCGCAGGCGGAAGGGCTCTATAAGGCTTTATGAGGCTTTGCTATAAGGAGGCCTTACTGTAGCAGCTGTCTACGGATTCTATATGGCTTTACTCTGAGAGGTGGGTCCGACGGCATTCAGAGTTGGCATTTGGGCCAAAAAGTTTTGGAGCGGTGGGTGTTTTCGGCTTAGGGGCTGGATACCTGAACCCCAGACCGCAAACCGGAATTTTCAAATTTGCTGGCTGTCGAGCGGAGCTTTGAGGTATTCAGCTTGCAGCATATTGTAACGAGCACCAAACCCGGCAAGAATTGGGACTCTCGAGTCCTTAAGCCCGGAAACAGCTTCAAAATCTCCGTCAACCTGTGGCGTCACATCTGGCAGGCGCTGGAGCGGGCTGCTGCCGTGCACGGCGACCGCCGCCTGAGCCAGTTGGCCAAGGTCGAACTTCGGGATAGTTCTGTTTTATTGTTGGGACCGCGGTGAGGTTCACGTTTGGCTCTGGAGGGTCGTTTTTCTCAAAAAATGCGGAATGGAAGTGTTGTTTGATTCGAGCTTTTGCAAAAAGGGCTTTTGACACTCGTTTGGTCTTTCACTTTAGTTGGTGAAACCGCGGCTTTCCGTGCGGTGAGACCTGACAACTCCTGCGCTAAGTAAGGCCTGCTCCAAGGACTTTACACTACACCCTGGGATGAAGCCTCCGATAAGCCAAGCAAAATATGTTTGAGGCGGCTGAGGTCAAGGGCATGGAGAAGGCCGGGCAGAAGGGTTCAGTGTTTGCTAGATATGGGCATCATTGATCATAGTGGTTGGGTCCTGCAGGTAGCACTACGGTTGGAAGCAGAAAGAGAGTCAAGTGTCTCGGGTAAAGCTTTAGGCGAAGGGTATATGTGTCAAGTTGTTTGGGTTGTTCTATGTCTATGCAAAGGTGAAGGCTCGCATGTGCGAGGGCCGCTCTCATCATCCTCGAAAGTCCAGAACAGTTGCCCGGACCTGTGCGGATCCAGAGAAGAGACAGTCAGACCTCGTGTTTGACCTAGGTTGAACGAACATTCGGGTCGCTTTTGACAAGCCTCGAGAAGATGGAAAGCAACACCAAAGAACATCAATTGATGGCGACAGCCATGACGACATTCAGAACTGACATTCAACAGCATTCAGCAACAGACGCGAAACAACAGGGACAACGAAATCATCATGATCGTGATAGGCAGCAGAAGGGCAAGACCTTGCACAATAAAACACAAAGTCGCCACGGTGGCAGCAGCAGAACAGCAACAAAGATAACGACGATAAGTAGCAGCAATTACCGGTTGCAACCGTGCTAGTAGCAAAAACTGTGCAGACAAGCAACCGTCATTAATTGCAAGAGTCTCAAGCAGCTAGCGATATCAAGGGTGTGCGAACCACAGTCTTGCAACGTGGACCAACGGCGGACAGTCCCGAAAGAGCCTAAGCATGGCTGCCAGATGCCAGGTCCTCAAAGCCATCGATGGTATGAAGGTCGCCTTGAAGAAGGAGAGCTGCCTGTGGTTCGAGGTTTCGGCTCTTTTGGAAAGGCTACTAATACTAATATTTTTCTGATACTAAAACTAATACCAATACTAATACTAAAATTAATACTGTGCCAGGCTGGCGGGTAGGGCTGTGCATGCTTTCAGCTCCAGCATGAAAGGGATGGCGAAACGGAATTGAAGAAAGGTGTCGAAGTTTCTTGCGATGGCATGTGCTGACGGTGCGCAAGATGCGACCCTTTCATAAGATTTTGGGATTACTGTTTCTGTCAATGGCCTGGCAAGTCGGTAGCCGGGGTTTTGGGAACGTGCCGGAGCTTCTGCCATGACAGTTTGTCTGTTCCAGGACGACGATACAGCTGGGACGCTTTGTTGAAGTCCATTCGAACACGTGCTGTTTAGGTTTGCAACATGAAAAACAAGTCGACGCGACACACCAGGAGCAGCAGGACGAGGTCGAACAACGTGACTTTTGCATCAAGTCCTTCAATGAGAACAAGGTGCACTATGTGAGTTGCCAAGACGGTTAGGGTCTCTGGCAGGGGTTCGGGGATCGGGATTTGACGAGGCCCGTATTAATAAATAGTAATGCGAGGTGTTTAGACATTACGGGATGCCGACCATGAGACCTGCTCATATCACTCTCAAACAGTCAGTTGGCATAGACCAGCTCAACGCTTCCAGAAAACAGCTCTGGTCCTGGAAACATCGGATACAGTGGAGTTCCGACCAAGGGTCTCGCTGCCAAAACTGGGACAGCTGGAAAAATGGGGTTTCCAGAGTTGGCAGAGGGCGGAGGGAACATAAGTAGCCCAAGCCGAGATTCCCCGACAGAGCAACCCTTGTCTATGGAGTTCAAAAGCACATAAATGACATGACGCACGACTTGAATGTTCACTATTGCTCTTAGCTGAACCCGTTGAGAGTCTACCCATAAATACTTGTGAATTCCCGAACATGTCCGCAAAGGATTTTATCAAGCAACTGAACTCTTGCCGGTTGTGCAGTGCAACGTGAGAGGACCATGGCCAGCTTAATCCTTGCTTGTGTGCCATAGCAGGTGTGAGTGCCTTCTTGGCCCGAGGTCTTTCGGCACAAGGGCTCAGTCCAGTATTTTCGCTTCCTTCGCAACACCCGCAAGAGCACTATCATGGCGGAGGCCGAGGCTGTGTACCGCTACGAGTCCGGAAACATCGCGCATGCTCCCAAGAAGGATTACGGTCCTTTAGACTTCACCGGAAAGCTGGCTGGGGGCTTGCGACTCGACATCCGCAGGCGAGCGCCGCTGTATTGCAGTGATTGGACGGACGCCTTCCAACCGGAGAATTTCCAAAAGTCGGTATCGTCCATTTTGTACTTGTTCTTTCGTCTTGCAATCTGCAGACCTTTGAAGCTTTTGGCGTTCTTCTAAAGCAGCGTTTCTCCTTGAGTATTGGCCAGTTGTGGCAGTAAGGTTCATCGCAGCCCTTGCCCCCGCGATTACGTTCGGCAGTCGGTTCCTTGACGGCACGAACGGCCAGTTTGGAGTGATGGAAATGATCATGAGCACATGTATCAGCGGCTTGATCTTCTCAACATTTTCCGGTCAACCCCTTTCGATTTTGGGTGCTACCGGTCCGTTCCTGGCCTATACGCTTGTCGTTTATGACTTGGCAGTTGCCGTGGACGTGGAGTTCATGCCGTTTTATTTCTGGACATGCATGTGGTGCTCCCTCTTCACCGTCCTAGTGGCGGTCTTCGACTTGTGTGCGCTCATGAAGCACGTCACCATGTTCAGCGAAGACATCTTCGCCGGATGCTGTTCAGGGATAGTATCTATCTTTAACTTTGCTTGTTTCTGGGTTCTGAAGTTTGTACAGCAACTGACCCGAAACGGTATATAGTTCGCCCTGCGGGCTATCGAAAAGCCGAGGATTAATCTCGCTCATCTTCATCATCGATGGAGCCCGACCGATCATCGAGAATTTCACGGAAAGCAGGCTGACCCTGACGAACTGCATGTTTGAAGCTCTCTTGTTCATCTGGACATTTGGCTTAGCAACATACTTGTCCAGTTTCCGCAGAAGCCCTTGGACCTTCCGTTTCGTTCGCAACTTTGCGGCGAATTTTGCAGTGACCATCGCCTTGGTTAGTGGCTCTGCGTTGGCCGCCATTTACTCCAACGACACAGGCCTGAGGATGTTGCAGGTGGACGCAGACTTCTCGCCGAATCTGAGCTTGTCCGACGGCAGCAAGCGGCCGTGGATCATCAATCCCGCTGGCATGGACCGCCCCTTCCCAGCCTGGGGCATTGCCTATGCGATCCTTCCGGCGACTTCTTGATTAGAGAACTTGTTTTTGGTCTCTTGTAGGAGGAGCATATGTGTAATGAGTGACAACTCCAGTGCAACCGAGGCGATTGGCTTCGCAGTCTTGGGTTACCTGGATCAAAACCTCACCTCCGTGATCGTGAATAGACCTTCCAACAATCTGAAGAAGCCGGCTGCGTATCACCTGGATTTGCAGCTCGGATACGTTTGGGATCCTTTTGACTTTTTGGGCTTCGGGTTTCCTGGTATATTACAAGAGTTATAAAGAGGGAGCCCGCAAGAAGGATCCTTTTTCGTTGCTCTTTACGATGGGGCTCAGGTTTGTTCGGGGAGCACTCACGCTGCCCATCTGTGCTGTGCTGGGCCTGCCCCTGTCCGTGGCCTCCACGGTGCCGAGCATCACCCACGTGATCTCCTTGACCACTTACGAAGTCAAGCAGCTTCCGGAAGGTGAGCGCAAGGTGCCTTCGAAGGTGGTGGAGCAGCGCGCTACTAACTTCTTGTTCCATGGTAGCTGAGTGAGTACACTTTACACGCGTTGGGAAATATCATCCCCATAGACTATAGAACCAAAATTTCCACTTTTGGGGCTTCTGACGTAGGAAGTCAGCAACTAAGGATTCACGTGCTCATTGGCTCAGCACTCTTCCTGGCGCCTGTGCTAAAGTTCCTGCCGCGGGCCGTGCTGCAAGGCGTGTTCTTCTACATGGGGATCGCGAGCCTCACCGGCAACAACCTCTTCGACCGGCTGAAGTTGTGGCTCATCTGGGACCCGGCCAAGTACCCGCAGTACCACTATGTCCAGAAGCTGCCCATCCGTCGAGTGCACCTGTACACAGTCGTCCAGGTCATTTGTCTTGGAATTCTGTATGGGTTGAAAGCTATCAAGGAAACATCCGTGGTGTTCCCGTTCTTCATGGCCTCTTTGGCCATCATCCGCAAGGCCATGAGGTTCATGTTCACCGAGGATGAACTGAAGCAGCTGGACGGCCTTCCAGGTGAGGACGAGGAGGAGGATGCCGCGATGTCGAAGCCGGACATCGTGAACTTGGACGTGAAAGAGGCCGCCTAGGAGAGCAAGGATGCGCACGGTGTTGTAGATTCAATTAGCGTAGATAGGGAGGCTACTCAGCCGGACCTTTTTGCAAAATTCGATCAGTTTTGGTTCTTCGGAACTCGTCAGCGAAGCCCTTCTTTGAAGGCCTCTCCTGGCAAACCTGATTCAGCACGGTTGGCACGACCCTGTGGGTCGGATTTAGATCTTAATCAGGAAGTGGCTTTTGGGTCTTCAGCCTGCGTGCTTGATCTTTTATGTCAAGTCAATAAACATTGTCTGGCCCATCTCCGGCCAAGCAACGCTCATCATGTGCTAAGAGAGGCCGCGCGCCGAAGGCGAGCGAACCTCCTGCACAAGTTCTTTGTACAAGCCTTGCGTTGCCAAACCAGTTCACTCACTGCTAAATACAGGCGCAGAAAACGGTGAAACTGTGCATGGCCGCCACTCTGGTTTGCAAGATGATTGCTGGTCGTTGAAGCTTATGGCATACGAAATCAATCGCTGCGTGTGGGAGTATATGGCAAAGTAATTAGATATTTGTGTATGTAGCTATTTATACGAGACGTATGTATATGCATAGGCATACATATATGTATATGTGTGCATATGTACATAGAAGTATACATCATATTCGTCTTCATTTATGTAAACTCGGTAACTTCTGTATGCATGTACTTGTTTGGATGTTGGTTTCGGTTATACTCACATATCGGTTTGTAGGCTCGTGCAAATAAATGGACACATATGCACCGCAAAACCAGATCCTGAGTGTCTCTGCTCGTCAAGTCAGAATTCTCGTGGTTGCCAGGTTAAGTCAGAGAAGATGACCGACCTCAAGGACTTCAGTGTTTGCGGCAGCTTAGAGCGGCGGCTCTAGCATGAGCCTTGGGAAGGGATGTGTGGTTCTGTTCTTCAAGTCTTGTTATGATGTCCGCAAGGTTTGATGTTCGTGTTCGAGGGCCAGAGTTCTGGACAACCGTAGAGACTGGCTGCGTTGCTGGCAGAGTCTGTGACACTGAAAAAAGTTGGAGAAATTGTGTCGAACGGCTTCCGAAGTGTCCATGCACCTGTGTGCGGTAATGTCCCAACTATCACTCTGTTTGTCTGAAGTCTGGGTGGTTCAGGATCGCAACGACAACAAAATCACCGTTCTTTCCAGGGAAGCTCTGTATTGTTTTGCCTTTTTAGGAGACTTGAACAGCAGGGCAAGGTTTGGCAAGCAGCCAAAGAGCTACTTCGGTCTGCGGCTTCCCAAACTTGCTTTGAGCAAATTCTTCCAGCCCCCTATCCCGGCGAGCCCAGTCCGTCCTGACAACGTGCAGCTGTCAAGTTGCGTAAGTAGTTGTAGTCTCCGGCGTTGTTGTAGTAGGAATGCAGTCGCGAGCGGCAGCAGGAGTGTCGTTGCCATTGCAGCACGAGATTAGACCTTGCCAACATGAGCTCCTGTTCTGGGTCAGTCCTGCGCGCAGGGGCAGCACAATGCAAAGCTGGACATGCTCGCCGACAAGCTGAAAACCACTGCTGCTGCCGTCTCTGTTGCAAAAGGCAGGCCGCCTAACCTCCTAGACAACGGTAGCTGGCAATAGAAAACGGATTAGATGAGTTGGCAGCAATGCTACAGGCATTGAGAAGGTGGGTCAAGTGTTTCTGAGGCTAGTGTTTTGCTGGAGGTGGTGGTTGAGGTCCTGTCCTGGTCGTCGTGATGGGATGGTAGGAATGGTATGTAGACGAACAAGACAAAGACTGGAGCTACTGCGGTCCTTGCCTTGTGCGTCAGTTGTCCACACATAGGTGGCAGTGGCCGTAGCTTGTGACACCTGAAACAGTATTCGTAGTCGTCATTGTCCTAGTTGTCGTCGTCGTAGTGATTGTGGTAACTCTAGGCCTTGAACCTTCGATGATCTTGCAGAGGATGATTTGGGCTCGAAACTTCTGGGTTCTAATTCCCGGGTGCTGGTCTCGAAAAATTATAATGCCGGTACATCATGTTGAAGCTTTGCAAGAGCCCGCATAATGTGTAGAAGATTCGGAGACCGCGAAGAACCAAGAGCCAATACATCGTTACCACTGCCACAGGCAAGATCGACGCTGCAAACAAGGAGCTCGAGAAGGCAGCCAAGGCAGATGACAGGGGATTTGCTAGTAGTGCTGGTATTGCTGGTTTACAAGCGCCTTAAGTTATGCAGTTTCGGACTCTGGGTTTGGGTGGACTCCGAGGGCAGTTAGGGGGTTTGGCTTGCCGTTGTGGGCTCTTCTGCTGTGCAAGAAGTCTATACCCTCTTGAGTCCAAACTGGAAGCCCCAGAGAACACGCCTCAAAGCCCCTGAACTCTGAAACCTTCTGGCCTGAACGGCGGTTCAAAAAGACTGCCAAAACTTTAAGCCGAACGGCTTGGTGGATGCGCAAAGGTTAGTGGGGGACCCTCAACCGCAAACCCTCCCCTGCCACCAAATCCCGGCTTCAACCTGGTGCAATGGAGGACCACGAGGACGAACTTGCAGATTTCAAGACCACCCTGCACCCCGACTGCATGTTCGGAGGGGAGCTTCGTTTTCTTGCTCTGTGTATTAGAAGTAGTCGTCGGAAATATACTAGCAGTAGCTGTCCTCGTCCGCATCGTCGTCGGCTTCGTCAGCGCGTTCGTCAGCATCCTCGTCGTCGGAGTCGAAGTAGTATTTCTGGGAGTGCTGCTGGTGGTGCTGCTGGTGGTGCTGCTGGTGGTGTGGTGGTGGTGCTGGTGGTGGTGGTGCTGGTGGTGGTGGTGCTGGTGGTGGTGGTGCTGGTGGTGCTGGTGGTGGTGCTGGTGGTGCTGGTGGTGGTGCTGGTGGTGGTGCTGGTGGTGGTGCTGGTGGTGGTGCTGGTGGTGGTGCTGGTGGTGGTGCTGGTGGTGGTGCTGGTGGTGGTGCTGGTGGTGGTGCTGGTGGTGGTGCTGGCGGTGGTGCTGGCGGTGGTGCTGGTGGTGGTGCTGGTGGTGGTGCTGGTGGTGGTGCTGGTGGTGGTGCTGGTGGTGGTGCTGGTGGCGCACTTGCTAGTGGTACTTTTCAGAGACTTCAGAGTAGTAGCAGTAGTAGTAGCAGGAGGGGGAGAGCATGATGTTGAAAGACTTGGTGTGAAGGCTGCCACTAGTTGCATGGTCCGAAAACCAACTTGAACGTTCTTCTTCACGAACACAGTCCTCCACGGTCTATTTGGTAAACCTCAGCGTTCGTGACTTCTTGACCCAGCAAGGTCGGATCAAAACACGACGAAGGTGCAAGATGTCCTGCGAAAGCTTAACAAGTCTTGGGCCGTTCAATTGCTTCGGATGTACCAGAGAGAATGGCATTGGTGTATCGTAAACCGTCAGATCGACGGATTTAGAAAGCTTCCGCATCCATGGAGCACGTCGGTTTGTAGGGATCCGGGTTTTCAGAAGTAGTAACATGTGAACGCTTGAACCCGGCAGCACCTTTCTCCATCAGGTAGTGCCCTTGAAGATGCATCGTGCTCTTAAGTCAAGGTCAAGAATCAAATCAGCTTTGGCTGCTAGCAAAAGCAAGCACATTCGAAGTTCTCGAAGAACGCAACGTGGACCTCGTGTAGGATATCTCTGGAGCAATGCATTCAGAACCATCGTTCCCTTCGGAGTGTTGCCAAGCCTTCTGTGAATCACTGAAAGTATTTCAACAAAGCTTCTTGGCGAGTATGGACAGGTCATGCTCAACGAGGCCCTGGATAGCCTCAAGGCACGGTGCCCAGAGTCACACCTGAACCCAAACCTGCAAACAACCCTTCGGTGTGGCCACGAAAGAATTTCATCGATCGAGACGGTCACCCAGGTCTGATAGCATCAACACCATCCTCCTCCTCCACGTCATACTCACGACACCTGCCAAGAAGACACAGCACCAAGATTCCCACCCAGTCGTCACCGGTCATCATGATCGCCGCAGTCAACATCACCATCACCGTCATCTTCGTCCTGCCCTCGTCAAGAAGGAGGAGGAGACGACGATAAGTCGGAACAGCCGCATCATCGTTTCGATGGGCTCTTTCGTAAGCAGTCCTATGGCTAAGCGATACATACAAATTAATGCTTGGTTTTGGAATGCATTGCGTTGGCTTTTCTGGCAGCACCTTTTTACTCTTATCATGGACATCGTTTTGTCTATCCTTTGTAGTTTTCCCAACGACCTTCCGCAACATGGTTTTTGCACTGTTGCTTTCAGGCTTCCCTAGCTTCCATTTCCTTGTTTGTGAGGCCTTTTACGTGGAGAAGCCCAAGGCGAAGAAGTCGCTGTTGCAGAAGCCTTCGGAAGACACCGTTCCCGAGGCCGGAACTGGCAGGAAGTCAGCGTTGGGAAACTGCGCTGTGGAATCCAGGATAGGTTTGGGGATGACAGCTCCACACCCCCAGTCACTGTTAGGAAATCCGACACCCCACAACCACTCAACCCAGAAGTAGAGCCCTTAATTCGGCCACAGGGATTCAAGGACTACCAGAAGAGCAGCAGCGGCAATGCCGTGACCCAGCTCCTGCAGCAGGTGATCCTAGACACGAAGGCCTTTGCTTTTTCAAAGATACAACTCAGGCTCTTCTGAGAGCGTTTTGTGATGTTCGGGACGTGACTATGTAGTGGTGTCGCTTCCTCAGCTCTGTGGAGGGCAGGCACTCCACCTGACCTTCGTATGTTTCAGCACTGCTCAAAGCACGAGGAATCCTTTCTGTTTCGCCCCGAACCGGCATGGTTTGGATTGCGCCAGACCTTCTTCAGGTCACAGGTGACATGATCTAGGCCTTGCTCTGCGGTTTTGCAATTTTAGAGATGAAGAAGGTATCGAGGCGGCAAAGGTGTTGAGGTTCGCTCCTTAGCGGAATGGAAAGATATAGGGAGGATCGGAGCTGAATTTGTGTGTTTTTTTTTTCCTGCGAGGTTCGATCTCAGAATGGTCGGTCCAGCGTTTAAGCGGCTTTGGGCTTTGGGGCGTTGTTTTTTTCTAGAAGCGTTCCCTCTGCGGGTTCGGGGTGAGGCCATGGAGGCAGAGACGACTCGCGCCATGAAGTCTTCGGAGAAGCAGTTCGCAAAGCTGACTGATGTGACTTGGCTTCATTCGGAGTTTGGTCCGTTTCAAGTTGTTTGAACCCCTTAAACCGCAAAAGCGTCCGGAGCCACCCTCATGTTTGGGACCACACCGAATGGAAACATGATTAGTCAGGAGGTTTGTAAGAGCTGGCAACGATGGCCTTCCCAGTTAGTTCATGTCATGTCTTGGAAGTTGCAAAAGGGCCTGCACAACTTCTCATGCAACAGCTTGCTTGGGTTTGTTGAGATATCTCTGAGCAGGCAAGCCAAGACAATTGCTTCTTAGTTGGATCCTAGAGTCTTATATTGCCTGGGGCCAAGGCCACGAACGCGGACATCGCGGCCCTGAACGGCGAGCTGGAGAGCCTGGCGAAGGTGAAGGCAGCAAGGGTGCTTGAGGGAACGGAGAAGATCTTTCTCGGAGATTCATCGAGCAAAACGAATCTACCAGGCCAGCGCCCAGGAGGCGGTGGTCGCGGAGAAAGCGAATCTGAAGGGCACCAAGAAGGAGAGTTTTTAGCGGAAAGGGCTTCAGGCTTGAGGCGTGGCAGTGTTTCTACACAGTTATGCAGCTAGTGCAGGTTTGATTGCGTTTAGGATTGTGGGACTAGCCGATGCTTATGGACGCTGCCAATCTGATTGCTGTGGGTTGTGCTTGGCATCGCTGCGTTCGGAGTGTTGTTCACGAGGCTGACGCCGATTCTGGTAATGTAAATCTGAAGATCGTGTTTTCAAGATTTCGGTTTTGCCTGGCATGAGCATGGATGATCTCTGTTGTCGCATCTTACCTACAGTCAATAATCCCACTTCAGAGCACAACCTATGGGGCAACCTGACATTTCGCTTGGGAGAGGAGCTCGCAGATCTGGCACTCGACGAGGCCGGAGGGGTGGAGAGCTTCGGAGTGGATTCTACTGTTCAGTTTGCAGTTGCTGATGGTCTGTCTACATGTACGGCTTTGTTAAGCAAAGCTCACACAGGCATGAAACCTTAGAGCCCTAACCCCGAGCGAAAGACACGAGTCCAAATCCTTAATGCCTCTTCATCGCAGTAAGCCTTAAACGCTGAAGCCAATTCCCAAGTTCCGCAACAGGATCGGCAACCGTGGTCCCACACCTCTTTGCATGCTATCTTTTCTTTGTTTCGGTTTCGATGGATTTGCGGTTTCGGGGCTTTCATCCAGCAAGCGTAGAAGAGCATTCCCAAACGGCCGGGCAGTCAGTTCTCGCGGTGAGTCCTCATACCCAAAACACACAACATCACTTCAAAAAAGCCTTCATTCGTGAGGTGCCGAAGCCATCAACCCCTTAGAAGTGCTTTCCCCTTTGACCCGGGAACCCGGAAGCCAGCCTTCGAAACCCCCTGCAGTTGCTGTTTCAAGATCTCGGAACCTGATCAAGCAGCCGCTTGCAAGGCGAATCTCCACGAAAGCCCGGTGACCCAGAAGGGTCTTTGCGCAGTTTCTGACGCCTCGCAAGACTGACACCGCAGCAGCGGCAGCATCAGCAAAATCAGATTCAGCACTTACAAGCAGGACCGTGACTCCACGGCCCCCCCACGTCAACTATCCGACGACGTAGGACGAGTTTCTATCTTGCGTTTGCTACCACTGTCTCGCAGTACAGGGAGCAACTTTCCGCCTAAGGCACATTTTCAGGCTGATCTAAGCATTCGTGCTGGCGAGAAAGAGGGCTTGAGGCTCCAAACCCCGCCCAAGCTTCATGCCGGATCCCCAGAATGCCTTGGCCTGAAACTGTAAACCCTGCAACCCATGTAGCACTGGCAGAGCCCAGAATCTTCGAGTTGTGGTCTAGCCTCACTAAGGTACTCAGCCTCTTTTAGCTTCCGGGCTCGTCTTGACTCCTAGTGACAGACTACTGGGCAGCCCCGGTCAAGTCCTTGATTTGAACCGTGAGATCGATGCACAACAAACCCAGCCTGCGACTTTGTCCTCAAGAACTTCGAGCTTCGGCAGACTGCACGCAACGAGGAGGTCGAGGTGCGGATTGCGAGGGGACTATCCTGGATGGGAGATCAAAGATGTAGTAAGTCTTTGGTGAGTGCAAGGAAGCAGTGAATTTCAATCCTCCCGTGTCAAGATCGTGTTGGAATACGGTTCCTGATATTCGCAGCAAGCAAGTATCCAGGTCATTCAAGATCGTTGTATGAGTTTTTGCTCCAAAACCTGCGTTCCTTGCTCGGCAAGTAGTTCAAGTAGTTCAAGACATTCCTGTTGGAGTGCATGCACATGGGGTTGCCATGGTCCCACGACTTGCAGGGCCTGTCAGAATCACCTGACCCCAAGACCTGCAGCCACAACCCCCAAAAAGTGAACTTCATGCCGGCCCGGGTTTCCAGGGGCTGATGAAAGCCAAGTCCTACCTCCGTGGCGCCTCCTTTTTGCAGCTGCGCCGCTAAGCTTTCCGAGGCGGATGTTTCTCGATGTTTAGATCTTGAACCCTCAGCCCTGGCTTGTACTTTACTGATGGCTGTGGCTGTTGATGTCCCTCTGGTTTCGTCCGTTTGAGGCAGCATTCGCTGTCCTTGTCCAAGTTGCAATGACAAAAGTGTGTTGTGAGATTGCTTATGACTCTTGTTTAGTGTTGTTGGATGTGTGCTCACGTGCTGTTACTCAGATTGGCTCTGGCTGCTTGAGTGTATGTTTTCGGGTGACGTGCAGCATTATTCTGTCTCATACTGCCTTAGTCTGTTCGAATACACCTTTTCCATTTTTCTTGATTGGCACAATGACATTGTTCTTGCTAGATGCAACTTTGTGGCCGTGCATCGCTGCATGCCTACAGGTTCCACCGTTTCGGATCACGCTGCGGCAAAACGAAAGTCTTGTTGGATTTTTGCTTCTGATTTTTACATATAAGGAATGACATTATTTAATAAGATTCTTCTATTTCTAATCAGACGAAAATGAAAACGAATATTATAGATTATTTATAATTAATATAGAGATAACATTGATAGAATGAATATTAAATTTTTTCCGCCCTATTTCTTTAATTATACATAATTAAGAAAATAACTATCTAAAAAACTAATAATATCTCTATGACGAAATGGATTATTTCGCTATTGATATCATTTTATGTAAAAAATTAAAATATATTAGTGAAGATCCCAAATAGAATGTATCGAATCATATCGATTCAAAATGGAATGTAGTGGATTTGAATCTGGCTTCGCACAATAGATTTTGCGAAGAAGAATTAGATATTGGATGATATATTTCTACGAATAAAGAATAGATGTGGAGATATAAATATGAAAGAAGATTTTTGGAGAATCTCGGGGTCATTTAGAAGATCTTATTAAAATACTAGATATAGAAGATATATTTATTTCTCTCCGCAACAACTATATTGTTATCGCTGTATTTATAATAGGATATTCGGATATTTGATCTCTATTGCAAACGTTCGTGGACGAAGCATAAAAGAGCTTGATATTCGTTTCGGTTGGATGTCGGACGGGAAGAAATGAGAATTTTATCGTATATACTTGATAAGATGAGGTTTATCGTTTTATAAGGCAAATAAAAAGCTCTCTTAACACGATACTATTCACGTTTTCTCTGCTGACCGAACGAAGAGCATTGTCCACAGGATTTTGTTGCCGCAGGAATCGCACAAAAAAAAAACGCAATTTCTCCACAATTTTCATAATATTACGGTTTTGCAGAATAGGATTCCTTGCCTCCGCTGTAGATATTAGAGGAAGAAGCACAACAGAGGTTGCTACAGGGATCGGTTGGCTGTCGCCCTGGAAAAAAAAAGAACTTTGCCGCGCAATTTTGGCGAAAAGAAGCGCGCACAGGGGGGGTGCGTCGGCTGACAACATAAAACAACAATCTTTCTTTATATGGAACCATTCACGACTTTTTCCGCAGACCGAACCAAGATCCATAGAATCTAGCTACCGCAGAAACCACGCACGAACAAAAACACACACAACATTGCCATTTTGCAAGACAGGATATGTGGCCTCTGCTGTAGACGTCTGTGGAAGAAGCGCAAAATAGATTGATATATGGATCGGTTGGCTGTTGCACGGGAAAAAAAATTTGAACTTTGCGGCGCAATTATGGCGAAAAGAAGCGCTTAGGGTTTTGCCCGTAGACCGAACGAAGATCCACAGGATCTTGTTGTCGCAGCAACCACGCACGGAAAAAACACGCAACATTGCCGTTTTGCGAGACAGGATATGTGACCTCTGCTGTAGACGTCTGTGGAAGAAGCGCAAAAATAAGTTGGTCTACAGATCGGTTGGCTGCCATACGGGAAAAGATAGAAACTTTGCCGCGCGAATTTGGCAAAAAGAAATGCAAAGGGGATTGTCGGCTTATGTCACAAATACAACTCTTTCTTTACACGGAACCATTCACGATTTTGTCCGCAGACCGAACGAAGATCCTCAGGATCTGGCTGCCGCAGCAACCACGCACGGAAAAAACACGCAGCATTGCTGTTTTGCGAGACCGGATATGTGGCCTCTGCTGTAGACGTCTGTGGAAGAAGCGCAAAGCAAGTTGGTATACAGATCGGTTGGCTGCCACACGGGAAAAGCTAGGAACTTTGCCGCGCGAACTTGGCAAAAAGAAGCGCAAAGGGGTTTGTCGACTTATATCAAAAATAAAAATCTTTCTTTACACGAAACCGTTGACGATTTTTCCGCCGACAAAACGAGGAACGTCGTCCACAGGATCTTGCTGCCGCAGAAACCACGCACGGAGAAACTCACAAGTTCCCGTTTACACGGAACCATTGACGATTTTTTCCGCAGACAAAACGAAGAACGTCGTCCACAGGATCTTACTTCCGCAGAAACCACACACGGAAAACACATACACACACACACACAACTTTCCCGCAACTGTTACAACATTGCCGCCGTGCAAGACAGGATACCGGATACCTGGCCCCTGCTGTTGACGTTTGTGGAAGAAGCACAAAAGAGATTGGTTTACGGATCGGTTGGCTGTCGCACGGAAAAGTGGGAATTTTGCCGCGCAAACTTGGCGAAAAGAAGACCGCACGGCGGTATGTCGGCTTACAAAGCAAAGTAAACTCTTTACACGGAACCACTGACGAATTTTTCCACCCAGACCGAACGAAGAACATCGTCCACAGGATCTTACTTCCGCAGAAACCACGCACGGAAAACACATACACACACACACACAACTTTCCCGCAACTGAGTTAATCCGACCCTCAACAGCAGCACGACGATATTGGGATAGGATCGCCGGGCAAGGCAAGGAAACCCAAAAGGGAAGCCCAGCCCGAAGAGGAACACAAGCTGCAAACGTACCTCTTTTCTCATTACTTGAGCCAATGATCATATTATTGGCATATTAAGCTACACAGTCAGATATGTTACCTATACAAGGACAGGGAATATCGTATTCGACCAATTAATTGTTACAACGTTGCTGCTTTGCAGAATAGGATACCTGACTTTTGCTGTAGATGATTGCGGAAGAAGCACGAAGCAGGTTGGTATACGGATCGGTCGCATGTCGGACGGAGGAAATTGGTAATTTTGCCGTGCAAACTTGGCAAAAAGAAATGCGAAGAGGTTTATCGACTTCTAAGATAAATGAAAATCTTCTTTTGTAAGGAACCATTGACGATTTTTCCGCAGATCGAACGAAGAGCGTCGTCCATAGGATCTTGCTGCAAGTTTCCCACAAGTATCACAACCTTGTCGTTTTACAAGACAGGATATCTTGCCTCTGCTGTAGACGTTCGTAGAAGAAGCACAAAAAAGTGATTAGTATACGGATCGGTCGGTTGTCGCACGGGAACGACGGGCAACTTTACCGCTCAAACAGGGCAAAAAGAATAACGAAGGAGTCGACTTGCATCGCAAACAAATATTTTCCTTACACGGATCCATTGACAATTTTTCCGCAAACCGAACGAAGAACGTCGTCCACAGGATCTTGCTGCAGCAGAAACCACGCACGGAAAAATATATAATTGTTACAGCATTGCTGCCTTGCAAGACAGGATACCGGATGCCTGGCGTCTGCTGTAGACGTTTGTGGCAGACCAGGCACCTAGAAATGAAATATTAAGGGAACCCAGCGGGAACTCAAATCCTCTGCTGCGGCCCGCCCGTCCAACCTATTAGCCCAGAAAAGAAATAGGAAGGAAATCCAATTGGTAGTCCAATCCCTTTGTCGCGACCCACCCATCTATTCAGAAGTCCAGAATAGAAAAATAAAGAGAGATAAACGGGATTGCCGCGACCCAAGCAAATATGAAGGGAGCCCAACGGGAGTCCAGATCCAACCCAGCAGCCCAGAAAGGAAATATGAAGGGATCCCAATGGGAGCCCAGATCTTTCTTTGCCGCAGCCCCCCCGTCCAATCCAGGAGCCCAGAAAGGAAATATGAAAGGAACCCAATGGGAGCCCAGGTCCTTCACCGCGACCCACCCGTCCAACCCAGAACCTCAGAAAGGAAATATGAAGGGAGCCCAATGGGAATCCAGGTCCTTTGCCGCGGCCCACCCGTCCAGTTCAGGAGCTCATTTAAAGGGAAGGGAATGGGAGTCCAGATCCTTCGCCGTGGCCCACCCGTCCAATCCAGGAGCCCAGAAAGGAAATATGAAGAAAAGAGAATGGGAGCCCAGGTTCGTGATCGCTCCAACCCAGGAGCCCAGAAAGGAAATATCAAGGGAGCCCAATAAACTTTGCCGCGGCCCATCCGTCCAACCGGTCCTTCCCCGCGGCCCACCCGTCCAACCCAGGAGCCCAGAAAGGATTCATGAAGGGAAGAGAATGGAAGCCCAGGTCCTTTGCCGCGTCCCACCCGTCCAACCCAGGAGCCCAGAAAAGAATCATAAAGGGAGCCCAATGGGAGCCCAGGCCCTTTGCCGCGTCCCACCCGTCCAACCCAGGAGTCTAGAAAGGAAATATGAAGGGAGCCCAATTGGAGCCCAGCCAATTTTTTTTTCTCACAAATATACACACACAAAAGAAGAAGAAGTACAAAATTGCTTTTAGGGGCGGAAAGCGAACGAAAGAAATCAAAAAGATATCATCGAAATATCGAAAAAATATTTTCCAATACGAAGGAAGGAGAAGACACAATATGATCGCGTGATCTGGAAAAAGTTATTTCGCGATCCAGCCGCTCATAAAGTCGAGCCAAGCAGCATTTGTCACTGGCCGCTCTGCCCACAGATCCAACACAGTGAAGAGAGCAGTGCAAGCCCAATTAAACAGGGTTTGATTTTGATTCTTATTCCGCCCGAGGGAATCAGTCCTTTTCTTCGAAGCCTTTTTCCATTGAATTTATTTATAAATTAATATTTCGTTCTCCATAATCTATGAATAATAATTTTAGATTTTAAGTATTTCTAGATATATGAATATTATTCTTATTATTATGATCTCC